GGGAAAGCAGGGGGCAGGCTGGGCTGGGCTGGACCTCCTGTTGGAGGGCGGCCGGCTGGGGTCCCGAGAGAGACACCCTGGGGGGAGGCCCTAGGGAGGACTCCGGCAAGGGAGGGTCTCACAGGCAGGGAAAGGGCCCACCTGCCCATTGCACAGGTGGAAAGACCAAGACTGGGAGGGGAAGGACCTCCTGAAGGTCAGGTGGGTCTCCAGGGGCTCCCTGGGAGTCGGGGGACCCCTTTTAGACTCAGCCCTCCAAGGGGTCTTGGAGGAAGGTCTTACTACCCATTTTACAGATGGGACAGCTGAGGCTCAGAGAGCTGAGACCCTCGCCTAAGGCCACACAGCTCACCCAGGATGGGCCAGGCCCACCAGAAAGGTCTGCCTCTGGGCCAGGCTGGTTCTGCTGCCAACCCCGGGTGCCAGCCCTGACTGGATTCAGGAGGCTACGGAGGGGGGTGGAGGGAGACCTTGAATCCCCTGGGCTGAGGGAGACCAGCCAAGGGGCCTCTTGCCCACCGTCAGCACGCCCCGTGTCTATGGAGCTCTAAACCAGAGACAAGCTGAATGTCGTCGGAGTGCCTCGGTGAATGGCTTCACTCAGCAGTGAGCCCCGAGGGCCAAGGCTGCCCTGGGAGTGCCCTCCCAGCGCCCAGGACACTGGTAGGCCATGGCTTGGGCTCTGGCCAAGGGGAGCCCACCTGATCTGCATGAGGGGAGGGGTTGTCATTTGCAGGGTGCTGCACAGACTTCCCAGTTTGTCTCTGGGGGACACGGTCTCCCCGGCCTCACCCAGGCCTGCCAGTGTCTCCTGGGGCTTGCCTGGTTCCCCTGGGGACCCACGGAATGGTGGGCAGGGAGCGTACAGGTGTGACGCATCTTTGTTGAATCTAGATCTTTCTTTCAAATGGAAAAATGTTATGCAACCAAGCTCCGTGTGGACAGGGCAGGGCTGCCTGACACGGTGGGCCCGGGGCTGGGGGTGAGTGAGCAGGAAGGTGAGGGAGGACGGCTGGACGTCAGCGCGGTCCGGCTGCCACCTGCTGAAGGAAGGACTGCCTGGTGGCAAGTTCTTGGATGCTGGGCTCTGGGTCATTCTTAAGATCCTCAAAAGCTCCAGGAGAGGCGGGACAAGTCTGCCCACAGCCCCGCCCTGACAGGGCAGCGCCCTCGTTCCCACCTGGGGTGCGGGGGGGCAGGTTGGCACCCAGACCCCACCTCCTGGGCCTTCCGGGCCTGGGTGCTCCCCTTCCCTACCCCCTCTCAGCCCTGCGTGTTTGGGGGTCCACCCTCCCTGCGACATGGGTGTGGGTGTGGACGGGTTGGGGCCACTTACTGCAGAACAGCAGCTTCGTGTCCATGTCCTTGACCATCTGGGACACGGCCTGGGGGTGGTGGCAAATGGTATAACCTGTATGACAACCAGGAGCATGCTGGCCGGTGGAAGGGGGCTCGGACCCGCTCCTGACCCTCCGAGGTCCCCCCCACTCGCCACCTTTCCTCTTGCCAATGGCCCTCGAGCTCCAGCTGCAGTGGTGAGGCAGGCGCCGGGCGGGCGGGTGAGGCTCAGGGCGCTCAGGTGGGGCGGGCCCGGGGGTCCCCGAGTCCGGCCCCCGCTCACCCATGAAGAGCGCTGCCCAGGTCTTGATGTGATGACGGCGGCTGTGCGGGTAGCCGAGGGCCTGTGCCAAGTGGATGCTGAGCCCCTCCTGGCTGTGGCTCCATCTGGGGAGCACACCTGTCGCTCGCTGGGGCCAGAGGGCTGGGCCCGCACAGAGCACGGACCGGAGCCCCAGCCCCGGGTAGCCCGGCTCCTGGCCCCCCTCCCCTCCCGCCCCCTGCTGCAGCCCCAAACCAGGCAGCTCCAGAGGAAGTGGTGGGCGCCGAGGCTCGCCTCCCAGGCCGGCGTGCAGGAGAGGGTGTGCCGCAGCCGCGCCGCAGTGGAAGGCGAGCTTGGCCTGCTGTGGGGACCGCAGAGGAGGGCCCGGGCTGGGGTAGGGTCTGAGGAAGCCGCAGCGTGGGCGCGGCCCCTCCTGGGCTCCTTCCCGCTGCCTGTGAGGCTGCGCTCAGCCCACCCACCTCCCTGGCCGTGGCACCAGGCCCCGCTCAGCCCCTATTGGCTTGGACACTGGCCGCCATTGTCCATCTCCCTGGCCGCTGGGAGCTCCAGGAAGGCTGAGCTGCGTCTTAGTAGCCTGGCGTGGGGCACGGGCTGGCACACAGTAGGGTTCAGCCCATATCTCAGCAAGTTCAACGAACAGCCTGAGCCCCGACTACAGGCCAGGCGCTGGGATCGCAGCAGTGAGCAGGACAGTGTCCTGACCACAGACGGCACGGCCACGTGTTTGCACATGTGTGTGAGTGCACGTGTGTGAGCGCACGTGTGTGCACATGGGGAGGGGCAGGGAAACCAAGGAGGGGGCCAAACCTGCTGCCCCCGGCAGCACCCCCTGCCATCTACAGACCCCCAACCCCCTGCCACCGATGGGTCCCCAGCCCCGCCAAGGCGAAGGCCCATCGGGAGGCACTGACCGTGACGACGGCCCGGCAGCTGTCCTTCAGGTGCAGAAGCAGGGCCACACTGCTCTGGTGCACCTGGGTTCTCAGGCCACTTAGCTTTCTGCCTGTCACTGACGCCACCAGCTCCCCGAACAATGCCATGGCCGCTGCCTGGATTCCATCCCGCTCCTGCAAGGCAGAGGCTCAGGGCCAGAGCCAAACCTGCCTGGGGCTCCTGACCCTCCACTCCGTGGGGGGGATGGGGCTCAGTCCCCTCAGCAGGACCCTTTCACCTGGGCTCAGGGCTCTCAGGGACAGGGCTCTGCCTTCCCCCTCAGACAGGGCTCCTGGGGAGGGTCACAGGCCATCCTCAGGGACCTGAAATCGTTTCTCTCTCATGCTCACAATCACATCCTGACAACCCGAGTGTCATGAATGCAGCTGGGGGGGGGGGGGGGGGGTGTGTGCATTAAAACTATTAGCTGGTTAACTGTAAACACTTAAAATGACCCCACTCTTGTAACCCTGCTTTGGTATGTCTTCATTTTGTTACATGGGGAGGCTCAAGCATGGAAGAGGCCAGGCAGTCTCTCAGTCTCACAAAGGTTCTGTCTGCTTGAGCTGTTGTGAGGATGTGCTTGTTCTCAACAATCCACCTAGATGCAGTCTCTCTTTTCTGGCCAGTCCTGCCCTTGTCAGTTGCCAAGTTGCTGACCCCAGGGTGTGGGGTTACTAACCTACATGAGAAGGGTCTGACTTAGCTCTGTAGTATACTTGCCACTGGGATCATTTTATCCTGCATAAAGCTGGAAAGACTTCACTTGGTGGTTCCCAGACTGCCTGTTGGAGGCTCTCTGGAGAGGCTTGCAATCACTTCTATGGTATGATCTAATCAAGTTTTGTTTTCTCAGCTCTGTCATTCCTTTTTTTTTTTTCCCTGAAGGGGGGGGGGGGGGGGGGGGGGCGGGGCTTATCCCTCTAATTTCCCAGTGAAGGAAAATCTGCCATCGCAAAGGTGCTGACAGGCCAGGAAGGTGAGGACAGTTGGGGTTGGAGAGACTGGATGTCGGCCCTAGTTCAGCCCCATGGAGAGGGGCGAGCGCCACCTGGTGGCCTCCCGGCTGGTCCACCTGCGCCAGTGCACACCCTGGGAGCTGCCCTGGACCTCCACCTCCCTGCCCCAGCTGGACCGTGGCCTGGGGTCCTCCCCGCCTTCGAGGAAGGGAGTGGGGGAGGCACAGGAGGGGCACGAGACAGGGGCACTCGCCCCTCCCTGGGCGCACTCACGTCGTCGGAGAAGGAGTGGGCGTTGATGGCGATGCCAAGGCTCTGGGCCTTCGTGCTGTGTGCGCCCAGGCGGTGCAGCACGTCCGACACGGTGCCCATGACGCACACCGCCACCGGCTCGCTGCTGTGGAAGAAGCCGTCGAGGAAGGGCGGCAGCAGAGTCCACGGAGCAGGTGTCCCTGGGGGAGGTGGGGCCGGTGGGCAGTGGGACCCCTGCCTCTGCACACACCCCGCACCCCAGCCCTGCCGGGTAGACCCAGAGCCAACACAGACTCTGCCCTTCCCAGACCCCCATCCAGGCCTGGGCACCTGCACTGTCCCCTGCACCCCGCTGGATCCTGCCCTGGCTCTGCCCATGAGGGAAATGAGCTCCGAGCCCTGGTCTGTCCACTGGGAGCTGTGGACAGACTGCCGACAGGCTTCTCCTCTCTGAGCCACTGGGGGTCCTCCTGGGGTTAGGGGAGCACTAACCCTGTGCTAGTTGGCTCCCAGGTCCTTCCTGTCTGGCTCCGTGCTGGCCAGAGCGCCCCCACCAAGTCCTGGAGACCACCCTTCCCTTCCTCCGCCCCACCCTGCCTTTACCCCCATTCCTGGCCTCCCCATGGGTCAGAGAGGGCCTGGGGGGCTGGAGGAGACAAATTTGGTCAGGTGGGCACACACTGAGGTCGCTGGCGAATCACATCATGGGGAGTTGGGTGCACCAGTGGTGACTCCAGACCTTCTATGTTGCAATGACCATTTCCCATTTTTACATTACTTTAAAAGAAAAAACTAAGCTCATTTTCAGCCAATTCTTTCTGCTCCTCTTGTGTGCAGTGTGCTCATGAATTGTCTGGATGGACATGTCAGAAAGTGACATGTCAGCAAATGGATGTTTCCCACCATCAAGCCCCTTATCAATGACTTGTGCAAACTAGGCTGATTTTACAACTTTTAAGCAAGTTTTAGGCAACTTCGTTGGCTTCCTAAGCTGTGTTTAGTTTTACAGTATTAAATTCATTTCAGTGACAAACACTTTCTGAGCACCAACTGGGTGCAGCCAGGGTGCTGGGACCCAGGTCTGGCAGTGGACTGGACAGGCAGAATGGATTCTAACGGGAAGGACCCAAAGTTAAACACACAACATGGCATGTGTCAGTCAGTGACGAGTGGTATGATACAGTAGGGCAGGGGTGGGACCGACTGGGGTGGAGGTACCAGCAGAGGTGGTGGTTATGAAGGTTTTTAAAAAATCGTTTTATTTATTTATTTATTTATTTATTGTGCTGCACAGCATGTGGGATCTTAGATCCCCGACCAGAGATCGAAGCCGTGCCCCCTGTATTGAAAAGCAGATTCTTAACCAATGGACCACCAGGGAAGTCCCTAAAGTTTTAATTTTAAGTAGGATCAGAGTATTTGTTACTGAGAAGGTGACAGCTGAGCAAATTCTTACAAAGAGGTGCTGGAAGAGCTTTCCAGCAGAAGGAGCGGCAAGTGCAGAGGCCCTGAGGCAGGAGCACACCTGGGTGTTTGTGGGGTTTGTTGATCGGCTGAACGACCTTACTGTTTGGGGCTGGAGCAACTGGACGGGTGGAGCCCCCGTCACCCGAGATGGGGGCTGCAGGAGGAGCCTGTTTGGGGTGAGGGGTCCGTTGTGCACAGTTTGAGTTTGAGATGCTGCTAGAATCCAAGCAGTTTGAGGGTCGAGGCTGGAGTTCAGGTCCGCGTTTGGGATACAGGTTTGGGAGCAATTGGCCTATAGGTGGTACGTAAAGATGGGAGGAGACCACCAAGGGAGCAAGTGTAGACCAAGGAGAATGGCAGGAAGGGGTCCAAGGACAGGAGAAAGAACCGGTGAAGATGACAAGGCACCACCTTCGACGTGGGAGGAAAACCAAGTGAGGGAGGGGTCCTGGGGCCAAGTGGACGGAAAGGTCACCCAGTCACGTGTGCTGACGGGTCCACTGTGGGGAGGTCATGGGTGACCTGGACGGGAATGGTTTCAGGTCAGCTGTGGGGGGGAGGCATGCTAACTGGAGCATGTCTGCTTTCCTTCGATGGCTATACTTGCAGCGTTTTCAGTTGAATTATTTCATTAATATGTAGGCATTACATTGGTAGCATCTTCTAAAAGCAAAATATAATTTCTAACAAGGACAAAAATGGCTGGGCGCCAGTCCTGAAAACAGCATCCGGATTTTCAGTGTGATTGTCCCGTGACTGTCAAGTAGTTTTTAGCCTAGTTGTCTGGATCCCCTCCCCTGAGGTGAGCAGTGGGATTGGTGGAGGGGGCCCTCCCTCTGCCTGCCAAGCTGGCCCCTTGTTCCCTGGTAAGAGGACCCCTTTGTGGCAGGGGTGGACTTCCCTGGCCTCCTCGCGTGAAGCAGAAGTGAGTGATCAACTTGCAGGTCGTGCCTCAAGGGCAGGGTGTGCCTGCTGGCTGGAGTGGGCATGGTGGTGGCCGCCCAGGCCCTGCAGAGGAGGGCAGCACCTGGAATGGAGCACAGCAAACGAGGAGGCTGCTCCCCGGGGGAGTGCAGAGCAGGACAGCCACAGCGGCGGGAGAGAAATGCACTTCCGTGTGTAAGCGGTTGGTTTGGGTCTTTTGCATGTAGCTACTCTCCGGTCTCCCGGTGCACACGACGGCACCCAGTTAGTGCGATTTGTGTTTGATGGTAGACAGAAGTGGACAGTCCGGCGGGGCCATTTGTTCTCATGGGCCCCAGCGGAGGGTGCCTCTCTGGCGTCTAGGGCAGCGACCGCGGCCCCTCCCTCAGCCCTGGGGCCCGCTCCATCCCTGCCCAGTTCAACGTGTCCCCACAGAAGCAGGTCTCCTTGGCTGGGGGGCTCAGGGTGTGTTGTTTCCCCCAGCCCTGCTGTGGCTGCACCCCATCTTGGGAACCATCCACCTTCCCTAGCCCTGGCCATCCTGGTCTCGTAGCCCCCTCTGCTTTGTCTTCTCTGTTCCTGCAGGTCCACACTCAGTGCGGGGTAGAGAGGAAGCACATGGACACTTCCTACTGGTTGCCTGTCTGGGAGAACACCTGGGGACAGGTGTCTGGATGGCTGACCACTGACAGAATGAATGAATGAGTGACAAAGCAAATGTGAATAACTGATTGAGTGAAATGAATGAATGAAACAAATAATAAAAGAATGACTCATAAATGAAGGACCCAAGGAACAAGTGGATGGGTGGATGGATGAGTGGGTGGATGGATGGATGGATGGATGGAGGGAGGGATGAATGGCTGACTTTATGAATGGATGAGTGGGTAGGTAGGTGGATGAGCTGGGGGGGCTGTAGATGGAACGGCCAGATCCCCCAAAGGCAGCATTGCAGGCCTTCCCTTCTGCCTCTTTGGTAATGCTCCAGCTGTTCATTCATTATGGGATGTGGTTTGCACAGTGATGGGTGGAATCAGGAGGAAGTGAAGCTGAGTCTGCAATGACCATAAGATTCTCAGGGGAGGCTCCGGTCTGCGGGCCAGCCTTGGGGTGCCACCTGGTGGGCTCCTCCTAGATGCCTGGAGGTCTGCAGGAGCGTCTGCCTATCCACGGACATGGTGGAGACAGTGTCCTTCGGGAGTAGACGCTGCACCCCTCCCGCGGCCCTGCCAGGAGGTCATCACCAGCGCCATTCTGCAAGTGAGGAAACCGAGCCCCAGAGAGGTGATTTTGTGTCCCTAGAGCCGGGATTCCAACCCAGTGGGCCTTGTCTGCACCCCGCACACCCCGCCGCTCTGGGGGTTGCTCCAGCCACGGCTCCCCTCACCCTCTTACCTTCTCTGGGTGGAAGAGGATGTTTCCCAGGCCCTGCAGGCTCAGCACGCAGACCTCAGGGTTGGGGTCCCTGAGGCTTCGGGCCAGCATGGTCAGGGCAGCCTGTTTGGGGAGCACCTCCAGCAGGGCAGGGCTGTAGAGGGACTGGGTGGCCCCCGGGGCAGGTGGGTCAGTCCTGGCATCCTCTCCTAGGGGCCCTCATCTGTGTCTGAGAGCAGGGCTGTAGGACCAGGGCCTGGCAGGCGGTTTGGGGAGGGTGGCTGACCTGCTCCCTCCGGGTATCTTGGTTAATGAGTATTTGAAACCCACCTCCAAGCTGGTTCTATCCTTCAGTGTATAGCTGGGGAGACTGAGGTCCAGAGGGGGAAAGGTCCTTGTCTGAGGTCACACAGCGAGGCTGGGAGCAACATACATCAACAGCCTGGCTCGTGGGGCACTTGGGGACAAAGCCCCGTGGAGGGAGGCCCAGACGTTCCTCGAGCGGGGTGGGGTGGGCTTTGACTGGGGTCTCCTTCTACTATTTCACTGCCCTTTTGGCTTCACGGTCCCAGGGGTGGGACCTCGAGTCATCAGGGAGCGGGGTGAGTGGAAAGACAGTCCTCCAAGGCTGCAGGCTGAGGGGGGCCTGGGAGGTGCAGACCCAGCCAGAAGCCCCCGACCGCGGGCCCCAAGGAGCTGGAAGCGGGAAGGAGGGGTGTGAGGGGTTTGTCGGGCAGGTGAGGTCCTGGTGTGGTTCTGGTGGTGGCTGAGGCAGCCGGATGAGGGGCTCAGGCTGTCTCTGAGGGGCTCCCCTCGCCGCACGCAGGCCCCCGTGAGGAGGAGGATGGCTGCCTTCCTCCCCCGCTGCTCCTGGCTCCGTAGGTTGGGTAGCAGCTGGGTGATCAGCGCCGTGACTTGCTTGCAGTGGTTCTGCACCATGGCCCTGGGCACAGGTGAAGGGCAGGGGCAGGGCTTGGGCTTGCGGACACAGCCTCGTGTCCCCCTCCCCACACAACCCAACCCAGGGGCCAGGCGGCCAGAGGTGTTGCTGAGCGTGGGTGGGCACATCTCTCTTCGACAGTTTCCTGCTCCCTTTGCACCCACTGGCTGCCAGGCCCGGGCTGAGCATGGGATAGACAGGGGAGCAGACTTGGCCCTTGTCCCCTAGGAGGCCTCAGGCCGTGGAAGGGACCGGGGGAAGACGCCTGCATCCTAGGCTTCCAGCGTGTGCGCGTGAGACGGGGGCGGGGCACCCGTGCCTTCCATGCCTTACATGCACACGCGTGAGTCCGTGGGGCTGTGCTCACAGGCAGGCCCTGGAGGTACGGCAGTCCACAGCCTAGCCTTCTGGGCAGGGGTGACCCGGGCAGTCACCTTCCCCTGGCCCCGCCCCGCCCCTACCTGGCGAGGAGGCCCACGCCCCGTGGGTCGGTGTGGGTGGTGGCAAAGAGGTCCCAGGCCCCCTGCAGCTCCAGGTGGGCGAAGTCCTGCCAGTGCCCGGTGGCGGGCAGCAGGCTCTACAGCGCATCCAGCGACATGCTGCGGCAGAGCAGAGGGGTCCCCAGCCAGCCTCGCCCTTGGGGAGGGTGCCCAGCCGCCGCGGGTGGAAAGGTGCCTTGTGGTTCCCATCTGCACTCAGGGCCCGGCAGCCCTGGGGCCTCCCAGGGGCAGCTCATTCCCGGCCTCCTTCAACAGAGACGTCAGGGCGCGGGATGGGTGTGGGCCCTGTGGCGGAGCAGAAGACTGGAGGGGGCCCCTTGGGAGGGGCGGGTCCAGGGGGAAGCTCGAGACAGGTTTGGCACATGGTCAGTGTGAGGTGCCCAGAGCTGGCTTTCCAGGGCTGGCGCTGAGGGGACAGGGCTGGAGAGAGAGAGCTAGGTTTCCCCAGTTGCAGGGTGGAGGGGACCCCAGCAGAGCCTCGATGGACCCTGCCGTTTAAACGTGGAGCTGAGAATGCAGAGGGGTCCCGGCCGGGGAGGAGGACAGCGGGGGTGTGTGTCACGGGGGCCCGGAGGAGGGTCCACCTGCAGCTCCTGAGGACGCGGGGAAACTAGGTCCATCGGCCGCGTGCTCGCGTGGACTCAAGAAAGAAAGCCGGACCCGGAGCACGGTGGGACGGGGTGCGGGTCAGGAACTGCGCTGCCTGTGCCCCGTCCGGGTCACACAGCCTGGCCAGGGGCCGCAGAAGCAAAGTGCGGCTAGGCCGCGGGCTCCAGACCCGCACAGTGGCATCGAGCCACGGGCTCTGGGCTGCCCCGGGCCCTGCAGGCAGCGCACGGGCGAAGGGCCCGGGAATAGCTCAGTGGCCCATCTCCCTGCCTAGCCACCCCGCGCCTGGTGGTGTCACCTGGACATGTGAGCACCCCCAGAGTGAGGCTGTCAGCTTAGACCGGGCACAACTCTGATCAGATTTGCAAAACCAAATGTGAAGGGATGAAATGCCACTCCGTGAAAGTCCCCAGTGGGGCCGACTCAAATGTCAGCTGGCTTGTCATCTCGCCCCCAAGCCATGCCACTGAAAAGAGGCTGTGTTTTCCAGGTCACTGGTCTCAGCCAGAGTGACGCCAGTTTCAGGAGAAGGTGACTCCGGGCACACTGGCATTTTGTCTGCTCTGTGATGACTCTCGGAAGCTTCCGGTCCTGGGGCATGTTGGGCATTGCCTCTCACGGTCGCTGTGTCCCTGCACCACACCAGGGCTTCTGGAAAGATGGCGTTTGGCTGATTTGGGCATTCTTGGGACTCGCTTGCTGACTCTCGAGGTGAACAGCATCACTTGTGGGGCCCTAAAGCCTAAGACCATCCCCAGCCCAGGACCCCGGGCAATGCACAGGGACCCTTGTTGCTTGAAATCCATGCAGCTCCTTGACCGACAGAAGACGGAGGCCTTCGGGTCCGAGCCCGGCCATGCAGAACTCCCCGCCCTTCCTCCTGGGGTGAAGTCGTCGTGCTCTCCTTCAGCCTCACCCCAGGGATGCCTGGCGCAGAGCAACTTTGAAGATGAGGGAGGGCTGGAGGGCGGGCTGCAGGGGTGCAGGGAGCCTGTGGGCTTCACACAGAGCTGGGGCTCCCTGTGCATCAGTGCCACGGGACATGGACCGCTGTTGTCCCGGGGGGATGAGGGAATGGAGCGCGGCCCTTTCCTTTCCTCCTGGTGTCCCCCCATCTGACGTGAGCCGCAGGAGGCGGCTCTGTCTTCTCATCTTTGTACGTCGCCCCAGTGCTGACCGGATACTGTCATTTCCGCGGCACGGAGCCCCTGTGGCTCCCCACTGCTCTGGGGCTGAGCTGTGGGGTCACCTCCTTCCTGTCCCTTCCTCTTTGGGGTCCCCCTGTCTGGAAGGCTCTCTGCCCTCCTTTCCCCACCCAGTGAGCTCTAACCATCATTCAGGTCTGTGCTCAGAGGCCAGGTCCTCAGGGAACCACGTGCAGGGGGCACCCCCCAAGGTCATCCTTTGCAGAGGCTGTGCCTCTCCTTCAGGGCACTCTCCAGGGTGTGTCATGCATCACCGGGCTGTCACTTGACCCCATCTGCATTTCCATGGGGCTGAGCTCCTGAGTGCAGGGATGGCTCTCTGGTGACTGAGCATGGTCTGTGACACAGCAAGCGCCATCCGTATTCATTAAATAATAAGAGCAGGACACACAGTACACTTAGCAAGTATCGACCAAATAATAAATAATCCGTTAGTCCTTTCTCTCCTCTTTTCGACCAAGAGCTGTGGGGAGCACGGAGTGGAAGGGGGGGCCGAGGCTGAGGCCAGGGGCCAGGGAAGGAGGCAGGTCCGAGCAGGGCCGTGGGGACTCCAGACTGGGGCAGAGCACCAACCTTCCTGTCTGTCCCTTCCTGCTCAGGAATCCCTGCTCAACCACTGGGAAATCACAACCCCCATGGGTCCGAGGAATCAGGAGGTCCTTGGACCTGAGACCACGGCACCCCAACTGGGCGAATCGAACAGAAGACGTTTGGGCTGGGGTCATGATCTAACCCTTAACTGAGGCCCCAAGTGTTGGTCACTTGCACAGGGTCACCCTAGCATAGAGCCTACCCAGTCCTCTCCGGCGCCTGACCCGCCCAACACCTGGGGAGGGACCAACCCCATCGCACAGAAGAAACCAAGACCATGAGATGGAGAGACCAGCTCAGAGTGCTCACAGTGGGGTTAGGAGGAGATCTTAGATCTCAGATCCAGGCCCCAAACAGCATATCATTATTAACTGCTTATTTGTTCCATGTTGACTGCCAAAACCCAGGACTACGAACAGTGTTTTAAATAAAAGAGCTTTAAATTAAACTTAAAGCTTTAAGTTGAAAAGAGGACTAATCAGGAAGTGAGAAACAAAAGGAAGCACCCCCGTGCCACAGTGAGAGGTGACTGAACATTAATTTTATGTGAGCTTCCTGGCAGCCAGGGCAAGAAGGAAAATATGCTGGATTATACCTATAAGTGGATGAAGGGAGTGTCTTTGAAATGAAGAGAAATGAGATGTCCCATTAGAGTTAAAGAGATTCAGCCCATGATGGATGAAACAAGAGGAATGGGAAGTCCTTTGTGGGGTAGGGTGGACATTGCCTGGAGGAGGACCTGGCTGAGAACCAACCAAAGCAGGAAACGTCTCTAAAAGAAAGGGGTTTTGTTCATCAGAGATGCAAAGGAAAGGGAGAGTCCCACAGGCAGGGCCGTCCACGCTTGCTCCTTCCCTGGCAGGAAGCCCTGCCAAACCCTCACCTCTTGGTTCCAGGGGCCGGCACAGCTTAGCAGGACGTCAGGAACCTCAGAGGCCCAGGACTAGTCTGACTCTGCCTCGAGACTTGCGTGGCTGCCACAGGTGTCCCGTGCCACCCTCATGCTGCCGGGGGCACCCACAAGACAGTGGGCCTCTCGGTAGTGAGTGCTCAGATCCCTCTTTGGGCCCCGCCCCCCTTGGTGGTACACCACATCCACCTAGTGTCAGACCTGGGACCACGGTGATGCGCCTGGGTGGTGCTGCCCTCTGGCCCGGGAGCGGCTGCTGACCTCTTCACTGGCCTTGATGGCTGGCGGACATCACTGCCTATTGGCCTGCTGTGCTCTCGGGCCCCTTGGGCTGGTATCTGCATCGCAGTTGTCCTCTGGACAAGGGGCCCAGGTCCCATCCCAGCTCCAGGGAAGGTGTGGGAGACAGACCTGGTCGGTCAGAGCCCCACATATGTCCCTGTGGCCAAGGCAGTTGGTTCAGGGGTGGGCCTGTGAACTAAGCTGGGCCAATTAGAGCCAATGGGCATGCCCAGGATGGGAGTCTGTCCTGTGGTTGCTGGGGCCCCGCCCTTCTCTTCCGGGAGGACCCGCCCAAAGAAAAGCCAGGACCTGCGAGGTGGGAGGGGGGAGGGCTGAGGCTGCTGGAGCATCTTGACACAGCTGAGCCTGAGCAGAAGGCCCCCTGGTGCTCCCCGTGAGGTGACAGCCATCCTGTTCTCTGGGGGAGCCCTGTGTGAGACAGACATATGTCCCTGCTCCCCGGAGCCCCCATTATATGGGGCACAGATGACAGCTGTAGCTGGGATGGGCTGGGGGAGAACACAGCAGGGAGGGAGGAGGGCTGCTATTTTAGAGAAGGTGGTTGGGAGACCACAGGAGGTGAGGCTACTGGGGGAAGACCTTCCCAGGAAGAGGGCGCAGCAGCTGCAAAGGTCCTGAGGCAGGAGTGTGCTGGGTTTGAGAAACGGCAGGAAGATGCTGAGGCTGGAGCAGAGGGTGTGCGTGGATGGTGGGGGCTTGTGGCAGGAGCTGAGGTCCTGGAGGAGACAGGCACCCAGATGAGGAAGGACCAGTGCGCCACTGGAAGGGTTGGGCCCTTCTCAGAGTTAAAGGGGGAGGAAGCAGGGAGGGTTCTGAGCACAGGCGAGGCCTGACCTGACTTAGGGGTGGAGGGCAGTGGGGGGGTGGTAAGGGGGAGAAGGGGAGGCTGGACCTCATGGGGCGGGGGAGGGAAGCTGATGGACCAGGCAGTTCATCGTAGCTTTCTCCTAACCCTCCTGTTTCTGGGAGAACATTTTAATAGCTTATTAGGGAAGATTCATGCATTTTGCATATGGTTGATTTGAATAAAAAAGGAACTTGGTGCACATTCGAATTCAGAAGCAATATGAGAGAAGTGACAGTTTTTTTCAGTGAGTGTCTTGGGGAGAGCTGTTAAAACTGACAGCTTGTGTGAAGCTCATCATAATATACCAACAAACGAAAAGAGGTTGCCCCGAGGCTTTTAAAGACTCGCTTAATGGATTTCTCCAGATATGCGGCAGTGCAGAGGGAAGGCAAGCCTGCCAGCCCGGGCCACGACCCTCCCACAAGGGTCCAGTCCACACTGGTCAGGAGGAGTGGGACGGGGGGAGGCTGACAACTGTCCAGCGCATCAGAGCGAAAACGTGCCAGGGTCCGGCGCCCTGTGCAAGGGAACCCGGAGGGCGTCTGCCTGCAGGGGCTGCGTGGTGGCTGGGCAGGCATCCCTGCCGTTCTATGGGCTCTAGCTCAGCAATGCACGGACAGTCTGTGTGGCTCAGAGGAAGCCTCTGACCCTCTCTGAGCCTCAGTTTCCTCATCCGTCAAAGGGGGAAGACAACATTCGTCTCGCCGAATCCCTGGAAGGACCACACTTGGGTAAGATGTGGTGTCCTATGTTGGCACCTGGAGTCCCCTTGTGTCAGCTGTCATGGGGCGTCCCTGCTGCCAGGCACCTGCGGTCACAAGGAAGCGTGACGCACGCCCACCCTCCGCACTGACTGCTGCGCTGGCCACAGCTTGTGTTTGGAATCATGTCTGTTGGGGATTCAACTGTGTCCCCAGAAGCTGTCGAAGTCCTAACCCCGGGTGCCTGAGAATGTGACCTCACTTGGAAGTTAGGTCTTTACAGATGGAATCAAGTTAAGACAAGGTCATTAGGGTGGCCCTCATTCATCATGACTGGTGTCCTTATAAGAAGAGGGAGGGGCTTCCCCGGTGGCGCAGTGGTTAAGAATCCGCCTGCCAATGCAGTGGACATGGGTCCGAGCCCTGGTCCGGGAAGATCCCACATGCCACGGAGCAACTAAGCCCGTGCGACACAACTACTGAGCCCACGAGCCACAACTACTGAAGCCCATGTGCCTAGAGCCCGTGCTCCGCAACGAGAGAAGCCACCGCAATGAGAAGCCCGCGCACCGCAACGAAGAGTAGCCCCCGCTCGCCGCAACTAGGGAAAGCCTGCGCGCAGCAACGAAGACACAACACAGCCAAAAAAACAAAAACAAAAACAAAGAGCACTTGTTGTATACAACACACTGCTCACTCTTAAAAAAAAAAAAAAAGAAGAGGGAAATTTAGACACAGAAACACACAGTGAAGACGGAGGCAGAAATGGGAGTGATGCGTCTACAAGCCAAGGAACACCAAGGAGGCGGGAAGGACCCTCCCCCGCAGGTTTCAGAGGAGCACGGCCCTGCCAACCCTGGATTTCAGACCCCCGGGCTCTGGCACTGCGCAAGAATAAACGCCTGCTGCTCTAAGCTGCCCGGTGTGGAACTCTGTCACTCAGCCCTGGGAAGCCGGTACGCCGTCTCTGCCCAGGGGTCTGGGCCTTACCTCTGGGTGCTGGGCACGGCTGCCTCCTGGGCCTCCTGGCCGGGCTGGGGCTCCTTGGGCAGGTTCAGCTCCAAGATGTAGTGCATCTGGGTGAGGAGGGCCAGGAAGAGCTGGGGTTAGGCCTCCTGCACGGCCTTTGTTTTCTTTTTTGCGGTACGCGGGCCTCTTAACTGCTGTGGCCTCTCCCGTTGTGGAGCACAGGCTCCGGACGCGCAGGCCCAGCGGCCATGGCTCACGGGCCCAGCCGCTCCGCAGCATGTGGGGTCTTCCCGGACCGGGGCACGAACCCGTGTCCCCTGCATCGGCAGGCGGACTCTCAACCACCGCGCCACCAGGGAAGCCCCTGCACGGCCTGTTTGAACTCTTGGGCGAACTGCAGCTCAGGCAGCGTGTTCATGGTCTGTCAGGGCAGCAGGGGACACTCAAGGGGTCTGGGGTCCAGGCCTGTGGATCAACCTTCCGACAAAACCCACGTCCAACCTCGCCTCCCTGTGCCTGCCCACAGCCTCCAGGACCACAGCCAAGTCCTTGCCCGAGATGTCCCTCCCTCAGGGCCCGGCTCTCTGGACCCTCCATGCCTCCCCTCTCCCGCTGCCCTCCCTGCAGGCCTGGGTCCTCCATCCCACAAGCCCTGTCCACTCTGCTGTCTGCGCTGCCACTGCCTCGTGTCCAGCCCCTCAGCCCCGTGGGCTTCGCTTCTCACAGTATTCCCAGCGCAGAGGCTGGCCCACAACAGGACCCCGTGAATGAATGTTGAGGGGACACGTGGGCCAGAAGGAAGAGCTACCAGACAGCAGCCCTGGGGTCTCCTGTGCCCAGAGGCGCATTTGGTCCAGAACGTTCTCAGGGTCAAGGGCCAGCACTGCGGAGCAACAAGGGGAGTGCAGGGGCTTGGGGCACGGTGGGACCCAGGGAAGGCCACCCTGCTGACCCCACGCTGAGTGTGGTCTCCTACAGGGAGGGCCCGGGGGCTGGGGGCATCAAGGAGCAGGGCTGGCCCGGAGACAGGGTGGGGCTTCCTGCCGCCGGGTTCAGCTGTCACACCCCTCTGCTGGGGGCGGCCGCTTGTCCAGGGCGCTCTCAGTGGTGGTGGGCGGCTGCATGCTCACTGCTCAGGGAGCTTTTGGGGTGGAGGTGGGTTCTTAGCCTGGAATAAAACAGGGTTGGGGCACAGCTGCTGCCCCATCAGAGTGCAGCCCAGGGGCAGGTGTGGCGAGTTAGCAAATGAGCCCCCTGCTCCTGGGGCTGTGCAAGCAGCGCCTGGGCTTGTGCAGAAAGCTGGGGGGTGGGCGGTAGGGGGGGTCCTACAGGAGGGTAGGAACTACCAGAGGCAGCCTCTAAGATTCCTCCAGAATGGACAACCTCCAGAACCCAAGTATGGGGGCAGGGGTTCACGGATCTCTCCACGCCCTTCCTCGTGCCTGAACCTGGCTGGCTTGGTCCAGAGCCCTCGACCAGGAAGTGGGGAGCCGGGCCTGGACCCAGGGCCTGTGTGGTCAGTCCCGGCTGGGCAACCTTGGAGGACCCCTCTGCCAGGCCAGGCTGGGCAGGGGTGGGTTTCTTCTGAAGCCTGGATATGGGGATCCCCGTCCACCGGGGCCGGGCACACGGTGGGCGCCCCACGCCCATGTCTGGCTGAACGCACACAAGAAGGCAGCTGGGGACAGCGTCTGGGACTGTTGTCAGAGACTCACGGCCAAGAAGCACAGGTGGGCCCTTCTCCATCAGCCGGGGGCTGCCGTCACTGGTCCCGGTGGGTAGGGGCCGCTCCAGCACCCAGGCCAGCAGCTCACGGCCGCTAGGCCCCCAGGGCCCTCCACAGCCGGAGGGCATGGCTGTGGGCAAAGGATGGCCGTGAGGGCAGCGCTGAAACTCTGGCTTGGCCAGGCTGGGTCATAGCAGTGGGCCGCCATGCCCAGGGCCTCAGGGGTCTGGAGTGGGGGCCAGGGGAGGAGGCCAGGCTGGGTCCTGAGCTGAACCTTGGCAGGACTGGTAGGTGAGGGGTGGATAAGAGCATATTGAGGTGGGGGAGGGGCACGAGGGGCGGGGCCTGGACAGCAGTGTGGCCCCGGGGGATGCGGCAGCGGTTGGGCCAGCGGCCCCGGTCCGTGTTTCTGGGTGTCCCCTCTATCAGGCCCCTCTTACCCCAGCTGCAGACTACGTCTGTCACCGTCCATGGCTCCCAAGTACTGTCAGGGCAAGTCCAGCTGGTGCCCAAAGCCAACACCCTCTGACCCCTGCCCTCTGACCTCCAGGGCCCGCCTGCCTTCCCTTCTCTCCTGCCTCTGGCCTCCTCACCTGGCCTATTCCCGCTCAGCCTTTAGGGCTCGCCCTACAGTCACTTCCTCCTGGAAGCCTGCTGTGGCTGCTTCCTCCTAAGCCTGGGTTTGCTGGGGTCCAGCTCCCCTGGCACCAACCTGGGTCAACTTAGGGACCATCACTGGTGTGTACAGAGCTTTTCAGTGTCCTTGTGCCCATTTTGCACATGAGGAAACTGAGGACTGGAGACAGGATGTGCTCTGATCAGGGCCCTGCCTCGTAACAGGGAGATGGTGCAGGAGGTCGGGCCTCCCTAGTCCCATGGCCTTTCTGCCTGGTGGGGGGGAAGCATGGCCCTGCAAGACTGGGGGAGGCAGGGGGCACCGGGGCTCTCCAGTGTCAGTGACCATGATGGCCCTCTTGTTCTCTTTGCTAGGTGTCTTTGGGCCTGAGTGCCAGGTGGAAGGGGCTGGAGGGGCAGGAGGGATCCTGGAATGATGGGGTGTGGGCGGGGAGGGCATAGTTGGGGGGTTTGATGAGCTGCAACCCCCAGCTTTCAGAGAGACCCCAGGGGGGCTGCCCTTGAGCGCTGGGGAGGCCACCCCAGTCCCATCTGACCCTGGCTGAGTGGGCTCAGAGGACTCTGGGAGATTCCCGAGTGAGGTCACCACCCACCTAGAAGTGGCGCCTTTGCAGTGAGAAGGGCCTGGACTCAAATCCCTGCTCTGCCCTGTGCTGGCTGGGTGACCTTGGCCAAGTCACTTCACCTCTCGAGGGCAAAGCTGCCTCGAGGGGCTTAGGTGAGATGGTTCCCCAGGAGCGAGGGTGCGCAGAGGGCCAAGGCTTCTATTCTACTCCCTGTGGGTGTCTATCACTCAGTCGGCACCTCTGTGCTGGGCACCGTCACGGTCAGGCAACGTCCCAGGGTACTGAGCAGAGACAGAACCAGTAAGAATTCTGGGCGTGACCCCCTAGGGTTTGACTTGGGCAGCAAACAGTGGTGCATCAGACACTACCCCACGTGCGTAAAGCAGGGCGGGAGTGGGCACGGCAGGAGGGGGCACGGCAGGAGGATGCATCTGGGTGTCCTTGATTGTAAGCAGGGCAGTCGGGAGGCCTCTGCTAAGAAGGGGGGTGCCTGCGGAGACCTGAGAGCAATGGGAGAGGCTGCAGCTCTGAGACGGTGACCTGTGTAGTGTGTTCAGGGCCAGTGTGGGCGGCGTGGCCTGAGCAGCCGAGGGCAGGAGGACAGTGAGGTCGTGGGGCAATGTCACGACTTGTTGGGTGCCGTAAAGGTTTTGGCTTTGACTTTGAATGACATGGGGGCCACTGGAATGTTTGGAGTGGAGAAGAGACGTGATCCGACCTGGTTTTTTTTTTTTTTTTTTTTTTCCTGCGGTACGCGGGCCTCTCCCGTTGCGGAGCACAGGCTCAGGATGCGCAGGCCCAGCGGCCACGGCTCACGGGCCCAGCCGCTCCGCGGCATGTGGGATCCTCCCGGACCGGGGCACGAACCCGCGTCCCCTGCATCGGCAGGCGGCCTCTCAACCACTGCGCCACCAGGGAAGCCCCCGACCTGGTTTTAAAGGACCACTCTGGCTGCTGGGATGGAGGGGCTGGAAACGGGCCAGGACGCGCAGTGAGTGCTTGTTATGTCCTAACTAGGGTGGTGGTGTCAGCAGCTGGGGGAGATGGAGGCAGGTGGACCGCAGGGCTTCCCAGAGGATGGGCTGTGGGGTGGAGAAGAGAGCCAAGGTGACACCGAGAGCTTTGGCCTGAAGCTGGAGGATGAATCGCCGCGTCTGACACCGGAGCTGGCAAGACGAACAGGTGCAGGGCAGGGTCAGGGGGTGGCCTGGACGTGGCAAGTAGACGCCCATTAGACATCTCCGTGCATCCGGCCAGGGCGAATATTCGGGAGGCGCCTGGGCTTAGGTGATCTTTAAACCAGGGGGATGGAAGTGGCCACCAGGGCAGGGAGTGTAAGTGAAGATGGGGCCTGAGGCTCAGCCCTGTGGCCCCTGCGTTAAGAAGCCAGGGGCACAGGAGGAAGCAGCCAGGAGGCTGTGCAGGAGCGGCTGGGCTTGGCGGGGAGGAGCCAGGTGAGGGTGGGCTCCGAGACCCAAGTCAGGAAAGTGTTCTCAGGCCAGGAATAAGCCCACGCAGACGTGGTCAATTGATTTACAACAAAGGAGCCAAGAACATGCAATGGGGAAAGGACAGTCTCTTCAACAAATGGTGCTGGGAAAACTGGGCAGCCACGTGCAGAAGAATGCAACCGGACCTCTACCTTACAGCCCACACAAAAATTAACTCGAAATGGATTAAAGACTTGAATATGAGACCTGAAACCATAAAACTCCTAGAAGAAAACCTAGGTGGTAAGCTCCTTGATGTCAGTCTTGGCAATCAGTTTTGGATCTGACACCGAAAGCAAAGGCAGCAAAAGCAAAAATCAACAAGCGGGACATCAAACTAAAACGCTTCTGCACAGCAAAGGAAACCACCTACAAAATGAAAAGGCGACCCAGTGAATAGGAGAGAATATTTGCAAATCATATTTACGAAAAGGGGTTAATATTCTAAATCCTTGAAGCACACACAACTCAGTAGCAAAAACAAACAAACAAAAACTCCCCACACAATCCGATTAAAAAATGGGCAGAGGATCTGAATAGACATTTTTCTAAGGAAGACATACAGGTGGCCAACAGGTACGTGAAAAGATGCTCAAGCATCACTCACCATGAGGAAAATGCAAGTGAAAAACCACAATGAGGTATCATCTCACACCTATTACCAGAAGAGGTGAGCAGAGTCAGAGGTAAAAGCGAAATGGTGAAGAGGGTCAAAAGGTACAGACGTCCAGGATAAAATAAGTTAAGTCCCGGGGACGTAATGTACGCGCGGCGACCGTAGCTGTTAACGCTGTATTGTATTTGCAACTTGCTAAGAGAATAGCTCACCACAAGGACAAAAAATCCGTAACTATGAATGATGAGGATTGTTAACTAGACTTACTGTGGTGATCATGTCACCCCACCGCCCCTCCCAAAAAAAAGAAATAAGGAAGAGAAAGAGTTCCTAGGAGTGAGAGTGGTTGCCATGAAGACACAGAGGAACCTGAAAGCATGTCAGAAAGTGACAGAAGCCAACCTGAAAAGGCTATGTACGGTATGATTCCAGCTCTGTGACGTTCTGGAAAAGGGAAGACCATGTAGACAGTCAAAAGATCAGTGGTTGCCAGGGGTTTAGTGGGAGGGAGGGATGAATAGGCAGAGCACAGGGAGTTTGGGGGCAGTGAAACTATTCTGTATGATGCTATAATAGTGAATACTTGTCACTCACTGTACATTTGTCCAGATCCATAGAATGTACACCTCCAAGAGTGAACCGTAATGTAAACTACAGACTTTAGTTAATAATAATATATCAAGGGCTTCCCTGGTGGCGCAGTGGTTGAGAGTCCGCCTGCCGATGCAGGGGACGCGGGTTCGTGCCCCGATCCGGGAAGATCCCACATGCTGCGGAGCGGCTGGGCCCGTGAGCCATGGCCGCTGAGCCTGCGCGTCCGGAGCCTGTGCTCCGCAACGGGAGAGGCCAAAACAGTGAGAGGCCCGCGTACTACAAAAACAGAAAAAAAAAAAAAAAATCAAAAAAAGCCCAATAAGAAACAAACAAAGAAAAAAATATCAATATTGGCTCATCAGTTGTAACAAACATACCACACTAAGGCAAGATGTTACCAAGAAAGGAGCCTGGCAAGGGAGGGCCGTAGATGGAACTTTGCACTTTCTGCTTAATTTTTCTGCAAACCTAAAGCAGCTCCAAAAAAAGAAAAGTCTATTTAAAAAAATGGAGAGAGACATACAATGCAATACTAAAGAAAGAAAAACTGGTGTTACTAGATTTAGATTAGAATAGACAATCAGATCTAAAAATCTACATTAATACCAGGCTGGTGAAGAAAGCTCTCCAAAGACTACATGCAGCATGATACTCTTTATATAAAGTTATTGAAACTACAAATAAAATGTTTTTAAGAATATGCGATCACACTATATAAAAAGAAAGCAAAAGAATGAAGGCCCTTGGGTGGATGAGCCAGGGGGACGGAAGCAGTGACAGTGGGCAGCCCTGTCCTTAGATGTTGTTCAGAACTAGGGCCCTGGCTTTTGTACGGGTGACAGCTTCACAAGTGTGCATTCGGTTACTGAGAAGAATCCTTGCTCTAAGTAAAGAACTAAATTAAAGCAGGCCATGCATAGAGCCGTGATGGATGAGTGTGACAAAGCAAGGATTATCCCTAGTCCAGCTTTGAAGGCCAGTGCAGTAAAAGCAGTTGCCCAAGGGTGAAAGAGGAAAAAGAGAAAACGAGGAAGCTGGGCAATGATTCTAAAAGTTATGTAGAAATGCAAAGGGCCAAGAATGGCCAGGACAGTCTTGGCGGAAGGAGGAGGGGGAGGCCTTTCTGGATCAGGGCAGGTAAATTAATATAAAGCTGTAGGAATGAGAACCTTGGGTGTTGGCCTAGGCACAGACAAGCAGAGCAGTGCCGAGCAGGGAGAGCCCAA